AAATGGTATAAAAAGATTTGTTGGGGCTAATATTTATGGTCAAAAGTCAATAAAAGAGGGAGATAAGACATGAGGGGTACGGTGAAATCCTTAGGGATTTCCTTATGCCGCTTGAAAAAAAAAGGAAAGAGGGTCTACCATGAAATAATATGAGGAATTAGAGTTTTATACGAAAATTTCCCTTATTTTTTTTTAAATTCTTCAAAATTGCTATCTTTTTCAAAGACTGATTTATTTACTTGATATTGAAGATCTAAGCATTATTGACTTCGAACTGGTATGTTAATAAATCAGCTATATTTCATTTACCATGACTGGAAGGCACTTTGTTTTTCTTTTTAGTGGCTCTGTGCTGCACATCTTTGTAGTCAAAGCCTAAAGAGTGATCCTTGCTTGGATGGCCTTAAACACTCACTTGGGCATGGAGGAAGAACTAGGCACATTTGACAAACATATTTACACTTGTTCTATGATTCACTTCTATACATGCCAAATAGGAATTTCTGAATTTCAGGATATAGATTTATATGTTGGTGCCTCTCTTTTTTGATTGGAGTGTTTTCATTTCTCTGTCTCAGTACAATCTTACTGGCAAAATGCTCTGAATATATTAAATCTTTGCATTTGAAAATTTTCAGTGTAAATGTTGCGCAAGACATACTTGGGTGATTTTCACTACTTGTTTGAAGAATGTGGACTACGAATTGAGTCTAATATATTTTTTTCTTCAGATCTGGGAATTCAGTTAATGGGAATCATGGACACACAAGTGGGGACGAGACGGTATGCTGAAGATACTGAATTAGGTTGAGGATCATAAACTCATATCCATGTCTTAGTTGTGGTACTTAGTGCCGGAGTAGCTCGCATGTTGTAAACTTTTTCTGAACCAATGTTGATTTGTAGCATTACTGTCATGGTCCTTTATCCTTAGCTCTTGGAAACACGCTATTTTCAGAGTGATATGGTAAATTCCTGTGCAGGTGCCATACCATTCTCTCTCATGGTGTAAGACTTGGCTGGGGAATCGAGTGAATGTTACAAGGAGTCCTCAGGTATCTTTAATTGCTCCATGAATCGATCATTCAGTGGCTTTGATATTGAATTTCCTATCATTCCATTTTGTGGAATATGATTAGCATCTGGAGCATGAGTTCATTATCATCATCGTCAAAGCTTTTTCCCAACTAATTGGGGTCGGCTACACGAATCCTAGTCCGTCATATTGCTCTATTAACGACCATACCCTCAGTGAGGTCATAAGTCTTCATATCTTTTTTCACTACTTCCAATCATATCCTTTTGGGCTCCATCCCTTACCCTTTTTTATCATTCCACTTGAACTAACTCGCACCTCCTAACATGTGCAGTATTGGGTTTGCGCCACACATGGCTAGCCCACATATGAGTTGTAATATGAATTTGTATTATTCAACCTTAAGTTCAATATGCAAAAATATGACACGAGAAATTCGAGAATTTTACTTGGATTCTGTAGATTTATATTCTATTTTTGCGAGTTGATAAATATCCAGTGCTTCATATAAACTTTCAATACAAATTGGGATATCAAAGTTGCATTTATTGATCATGTCCACACTATGCTGTCTAGATCAATCTGGATTTCCTTAGCTATGCTTTTGCATTGGTAAGTGGAGAAAATAAGCAGGAAAATGCTCAATCATAATTGAAAATACTCTATGGAACATGAGGAGTCCCTCCACGTATGTCCTAGCTGGACAGTAAAACCAATTTCAATCATGCTGTATGCAAGCCTGACAAAAAACCCTTAGCAGGCTCCTATGGTTTTCAAGATAGTAACAGGATAATATGTAGCTCTAGGTCTTATTTTCCTGATAACTAGTTTGCATGACTTTGAGAAAGCTCTCATCAAAATGATTTCTCTGATTGTTTTGACAAGACAGTTATGTAGCCTTATGGTAACACAAACATTGACCCTCTGATTATAACAAGGACAGAAGCAGAATACTTATGATCATGATAGAGACTATTATGTTGGGATAAGGCTCGGATGGTGATGATGCTAGGTGTTGTGCATGTAGTGAGCAATATTCATATTAAGTTTCAAAATATTTATACTTATTATTAATAGGTCTGTCTGAAGTATATCTTAGAGCCGAAGAGATCTATTATTATATCTTATATGTAACACACTTGAAGATTTTGAGCTTTAGGTTTGTAGCTTTGAAGTTTAAACTACTGTGAATTGTTTTATTTGGGTATGATTGGTATATTGTTTTGTAGCTTTGAAGTTTAAGCTACTGTGAATTGTTTAAGTTGGGTCTGATTGGTATTTTGTTGTCGGCTTGTCTTACAAAATTGGTTTTGTTTCTTTTTGAATTTATAAAATTTTAAAATGTTTGTATGTACCTTACTGTGAGTTTCCACCTAATCTTGATCCATTCGTCTTGCTGCTTCACCAGCTATTGAATTTCAGAATTTCTTTTTTTTTTTTTTTTTGAGAATTTTATATTTATTTATTAAAAAATTTAAGTTAGCATAAAAAAAGAAGTGAGTATTCATAATTCTCGAACTCTGCACTTTAGGTTGTCGGAAAATTTGGCGAAGATGCTACTTCTAAAATGAACTTTATTCTTCTTTCAGTTTGAAAATTTGCTTGCTTTTCATTAAGAATCTCATTGTCTTTCTCAATTTTTGGCTTGTAAATACAGTCAGAGCATGAGGGTCTTGATGTCCAAGTGCACCTAAATGTAGGGCATCATGGAAGAGACATAGTTCCTAACATGACAAGGGCACAGCGTGTGAAATATATAACTTATTATGAAGATGGTGAAAGCATTCCAGGAAGAAGGACTGCTGTTTGGGAGCTTGATAAAGGTAAACATATCCAAATGGCAGTACGTTGGTAATCACATTAGTACATTCTAATCTTTGTTTCTTAAGTTTAGGTTTGTTTGTCAACAGCGTCATTTTCCACCTCTTAACACCATTATTTCAGCACTCTGTCTCCATTGCAAAAGGTACAATAGAGTAATTTGCTTTTCTGTTGTAATACAAGGGCTAAGAGCGGTGTTTGCAACACTTGCTCAGTTGCAAAAGACTATAGCTAATGGTGGTCCTTTTTACTGCGATTTTTTTTAAGGAAAGGAATGGTCTATTTATTACCATGCATCCTTAACTGTATTGGGTTATTGCCTGAAAGATGTCCCAAATACGTAGCAGTTTGGATTTATGGTTTATTCAACTCAAAGGCAAAGTCTTTCTTTCCCTTTGGATACCTGTAAATGCTTCTCTAGTTATCCTCTATGTTCACCCTTTTCTTACACTTATGAGTAATACAGTTTCCAAGTACTTTGTGTAATTATGATGCTGAGGTTTTATGTTATTATGATGAAGTTACTTTTGGCTTGGAAAAGTTGCATCACCCCAAGCTGGCATCTTCTTCTTACCAATGGCCTCTAACATGAGGTCTATGCCATGTGCTATACAAGGGGACAAAAAAATACGCGACTTCTTATCCATTAATAACCTAGCAGCCGACATATTAGCTGGATACATATTGGTCACAACTTGGACCACTTTATCCTCCCTATCTCCTCTATGCACAGGTCAACTAAATTAAGAATGAATTATGCATCATGGGACTTGTCTGAAGCATCAATAAACCTCAAGAACATTATCCCTAAGACAATTCATCTTCAAATTCATGATGCTTCTGTTCCTCTTATCACTCCAACCACCCGTCATGACTGTGCAACCGTATACACCCCACACATCCTTGTGGGTTTTCAAATAGTTATTGGCTCGCTCCACTTCTTTTCTAAGTATGCTCTTTAAGCTTATAAGCAAATAGCGCTTTCAACCCTGGCACAAACTGGCCCACTGCTTCCAACATAGCCTTGAAGCTACTCAAGTTAGCAGCATTAAAAGAAATGCCTGCTTGGAAGAACCACGTCCTCACATATTGGACAACCTTATCTTTATCTTCTTTTTTAAAATGTGTTTCTAAACTTGTTTGACCCTTTTCTCGTGGTAGTACCTCAGGATTAGGGCGGGGGAAGAAAGTATCCATAGGCCCTATTCTCTTTTTGCCTAGATCCAACCTTAGTATAAACGTCCTCTTCCTCTCATCGAACTCCAAAAATGTCTACACTTAGAATTTCATCATGCCTTTTTCTCACCCATTGTTTCTTGTTTTTCATCCCCTCCAAGTGTTCTATCTTCTCTCTTCTGACCTCAACAGGCACTAGAGTGCATGAGGCCACATCCTCTCTAATGCCGACTAAATGCTTCTTCAAGTTGTTGATGCCGGGAGTATATGATGTTTTACAAAACTTGCACTCTACCCTATTATTGTCAAGTGGATTTGAACAAGATCCATACTTCCAACCTAGATCACTTGGCCCACTTGATCCACTAGAAGTGATTATCACAGAGACACAATAATTGATTGAGTATCAATGTGAATCATGCACAATATTAAAGTATTAATTATTTAAAAAAAAACATAAGAAAAAACTTTGAGTTTTACATGAAGATATAAAACAAATGCAACTACACTAAAAGAAGAACTTTACAATAAGATGCACAAATATACATATAATCATATATAACATATTATGAAACAACTATGGAAAAAAAAGGAAATAATATGAAACAAAAATCACATAATATGAAACAATGAGTATATGATATCAATCATCATCGTCAAAGCCTTTTCCCATCCAATTGGGGTTGGCTACACGAGTCCTGGTTCGTCATTCTGTTTTATTAATAGTCATACTCTCAGTGTAAGTCTCCATATATTTTCTCACCACTTCCAACCATGTCCTTTTGGGCCTACCCCTTGTCCTTTTAGAGCCTTCCAAATGAACTAACTCCACCTCCTAACAGGTACTATACTGGGTCTGCGCCACACATGGCCAGCCATCCTAAGTCTACTCTCTCTCATCTTATCGCCTATCGGTATCACACCTAAATTTTATCGAATGTATTCATTTCGAATTCTATCCTTTTTTGTCTTACTACTCATCCATCTCAACATCCTCATCTCCATTACACTCATTTTATAGGTATGTTAATTTTTGACCGCCCAACATTCAGCCCCATAGTGGAAAGCTGGTCTCACAGTTGTCTATAGAACTTTCCTTTCAACTTCATTAGTATGCAGCGATCACATAAAATTTCGATTTCACATTTTCACTTCACCCCCTAGTTCGAATTCTATTTGCAGCATCTTCCCCAATCTCTCCATTTTTTTTGATTATCGACCAAAGATATCGAAAGTGCGCTCTTTTTGGTATTTCCTAGCCGTTAATCTTAGCTACTTCTTCGTTTCTACCCCTATTATTACTAAACTTGCATTCCATATATCTGTCTTAATTTGGCTAATTTTAAAATCTTTAGATTCTAGAGCATCCTTCGAAAGTTCTAACTTTGTATTGACGTCGTTTTCGATCTCATCAATCAAAACTGTCATCTGCGAATAACATGTACCACGGTACCTCATCTTGTAGGTACTTAGTTAAGTCGTTCATAACTAAGACCAAGAAGTATGGGCTCAATGCTGACCCCTGATGTAGGCCTATTGTCACTGAGAGCTCACTCGTCTCTCTACTAGTTGTTCGTACACTAGTTAGCTCTCACCAAGTCTATGTAGTGTCTGGAGACTCCTTTCTTTTCCAACACCCACCAAATCAAATCTCAAGGTATTCTAATATAAACTTTCTCTAAATCAATAAAGATCATGTGGAGGTCTTTTCCCTTTGCCCTAATTTCTCAATCAGTTGCTTAAATAGGAAAATAGCCTCGATTGTTGACCTCCCTAACGTAAAACCGAATTGGTTTTCTGATACACTTGTTTCATATACACTTGTTTCATGGGTATATGATATCAATCTGAAGAAAATAATCATATATAACTTCACATAAGAATTAAGATATAACACAATTATTAATTTACAAAAAACAAAGTATTAAAAAAATAGAATATCAAAACGTGACATACTTTACAAAAAAAAGAATCAACTATTTATAAAAGAATTCGATATAGGCCCAATTTCATCATCCAAATGAGGAAAAAATTCATTCATCACAAAATAATTCAATCTTTCAACTACAAACATGTAAATATATCATAAAAGGAAAAAAAAAGTAAACGAAAAAAATAAATGATTCACAACATAATACTTTATAGCAAAACAAATCAAAACTCTTATTCAAATATGATAATGCTTTAAAAATATCAAAATCAAAACGAAGTCAGCCCAATCCTTATCTATTGGATCACCAAAAGTCTTCAAAATCTACCACTAGAAAACACCTACGAACTATTGCCTCTGTTTTGGGAAGAAATAGAAAAAAATAAAATTTTTTGCGATCTTTCGATAAATCACATATTCGAGGTTTTTAAGGAGTTCTAATCTCTCTAGGGGTCACAGAATAGGTTGTGGGGGTTTAGGATACCCTCCAAGACTCCCCCTTTTTAGGGGGGAAAATTACCAAATTAACCTTGGCTAGGGCTATTCTTCTGCCCTCAGCATGTTGCGTCGAGGCGGCGCCTAGGCTGCCGCCTTGACTAAACCGCCTAGGCGGGTAAGGTGCCGAGTTTTCGAATATTGAATGGAAGAATAAAGACATGGGTGCATTCCCCATCAACAGATTGTATATACCCCAACTCTCTTGAGCCGGGGTATCCACCATGTGGCTCCTTCAAGAACATTATTGAGGGAGATTGAAAACCCATCCTCTTTATATCTACATTTGCCCAGTGAATTGGTGTTACAGGCAGCTTGTTTCCATTCTTGAATGAGATGATAAACTTGTAATGTATTCCTAGCTAGTTGTAATTCGCACATGCAGTCATAATTTTCACTTGCCTTCAGAAACTCATAAGCTAGAATATGATTGTTGCCATTGAAGATCTGGATGAATGTCCATATGGCTGCTCAAGATAGAAGCTAACATAGATAATTTCCTTTGATGTTGAGAAAGCAAGATTAAAACTGCATTTAACTTTAACAAATTACTTTTTATCGGTGACTAGTTCGTTCACTTGTGAAAAATTGTAAAATTGTACAATATGGACATGGACAGTTGATAATTTGGATGCTGGGGATGCATTTCTAATCATGGAAAATTTTGGGAGGTGCCAACCACGAGCTGGGTGAGTAAACCCCTCTTAACAAGCAATCCGCATTATTGTTGGCTGCATTTCCCATGCACAAAAATGATTTGACTTCTTTTGACACTATAAATCTAACTGAAAGTTGACATTTTTGAAAATTTTCTCAGCCTCTATCGTGGGAAACATAATAAGAGATGTTTCTTTGGTCTTCCATTCTATAAAAGCAAGTCCGAGTTTCATTTTTTTTTCTTTTATTTTAATATTCAAGTGGGAAGTTGACCATCTTGGTATGTTTGTTTGCAGTGAATCATAGGAACATAGTTCGCTCTCCTGTTCTTATGCGAGAACTATGGCTGGAAATGTGGCATGATACCCATCCTGATGCGAAATCGAAGTTTGTTACAAAGGGTAAGTTTATACATTGAACTTAGTTTAATTATTCTGTCATCAATTCATCATTGGGTAATGAAGTTAACATTTGTGTTTTTTGCGTCTGGGTTAATTAACATGGTAAGGAATGATGGAAGTTGACTTACCCAAAAAAAAAGAATGGTGGAAGTAGGAGATAATGGAAATGCTTGGAACAGGCTATTCCAACAGTTCCTTATTCTTATAGATTAAGGTTCTTTGCCTTCGTTTTTTTTAATTTTTTGTTTCAACAATTAACTTATTATGCCAAGCATTGTGGTTATCCACATATCACTTTATTACAAAAAGAATCAGCTAGAGTATAGGATATGGAGAATCAGAAGATGCACACGGAAAAAAGATATCTCCTCTTACAAAATGGACATGATGCCTACCTCTAAAGTCAGAACCCATTAGAACTACATCATTGCTGACTCAATCAGAAATACTCTAAAATCGTTGACAACCAATTCCAACTTCTCTAGACTTACTCATTTAAATGTCCATTAGAACCACCCAATCAACTTAAGTCCAATTGATTTCTATTCATTTAAGAATTGTATGAATGCAGCTAAACGAGGACCTTTGAGGCATGATGACTGTTACTGGGATTACGGAAAAGCACGGTGTGCTTGGCCTGACCATTGTGAATACAGGTCTCTCTCTCTCTCTCTCTCTCTCTCTCTCTCTTTTCTTGCCCAAAAATTTTAGACCTCACTGCATTTCTATGCTAATCTAGGTATCTCTTTGGGGATGTTCATCTTGGACAGAGCTGTAGGCTGAAGATTTCTCCTGATGATCTTCTTTCACACTATCTATAGACCTCTCAGTGAATTTCGTCACTTGTCAATTACCATAAGCTGGCATTTTGTAGCTACAACACAGGATAATTTCATTGCTTATCATGCCATAGATACCCTCTGAAACTCATAATTTATTTCAATGGTGCTAACTTTTCCGACTAATAATGTATTGTACATGTGATCATATGATCGGGATCATTCTGTAGGTTGATATTGACTTGAGATGATCAATTGTAAGGAGAAATTGCATCGTATGAACTTGCTTTTATTGCGCTAAATTTTATCTTGAATTCCCAGCTAGTTTTTTTTTATAAAATTGAAATTTTTTATCTTGACATACAAAAATTCAGAAATGACCTTCAGGTTGACTATAATTTCGTTTTGTGTATTTTGATCATTTATCATAAGGTTTTTGGATCTTTCAGTCAATGAGTTTATGAAAATTTGTTAAGAAACTGCAGATGTTTAGAATTGCCTTTTGTCTTGTATTAGAAATCAGGGTTGTAAACAGGTCAGATTGGGGTTAGTCAACCCCAACCCTGACCGGACTTTTAAGGCTCCATGGCAGACCCAGACTCTGGGTCTAGGTTGAAACAATATTATGTAATATATAATGTGCGTCTGTATGTGTGCGGTGAAATGCTGTCAAACACTTATAAATAAATTTCTATAGTAATTCACTTGCACTTTCAATTGTCCAATCTTGATTGAATGGTTGGGATTATGTTTTATTATTTTATGTTTTTTCTCCACATTAGATTTGGTTTACTTTTTCTATGCATTAGATTTGGTTTAAATTTACTATGTGAATTTTATTCATCTTCATGCACTTGAAAAAATATAGAAAAATAAATTGAAAAATGATCACAAATATAATGTAATTTTTGTCTATTTAGAAAAAAAACCTCGAACTTTTATAAATGTTGTCGACGTTCTTTTTTTTCCTTCAAATTTGAGCGTTTTGTGATAAAAAATAATGTTCACAGTAGTCATATTATTGTAATAATTATAGTATAATATTATGGTATTTAAGTACCATAAAACCTAAGATATATTTAACTGCCGTATGAAATGCCACAGAAAAAGGAAAAAAAACGAGAGATTCTGGTTGATAGAGAGAGCAGAGACGCGTTTGAAGCTTGCAGCATGTGCCTGCGAGCGAGAGGTGTCATCCTTGCTCCACTTCCACCATTAGAACCGCGAGTGAGTGGCAGGAGACCAATGTCTCTCTCCGAGGGTTTCGTTGAGTTATAGAGCGAGAGAGTGACAGGAGAGGGATGAGCGGATGGCTGCGATTCTTATTTATTTGAATATGTTCTGAGATAAATATATTATTTAAATGAAAAAAAGCAAAATATAAAACCATTATGACCATGTGAAATCTCAGCTATTAGAGAGGCGGTTGTGCAACCTTCCACCAGTCAACGGAATACTTTACCTGAAGGTCCATTAGGGTCATCTTGCCAAGTGTTGTTCATCACAGTGCGTGAATCCTAATTAAAGATCATGATTTCGGTGGAGTTTTTTTAAGAAATCTGATAGAGAAATGTGTGTAATGTGATCCGGATGGATATACAATACACTACTTGATAGAAAGCCTACTTAGATTTTATTTTGCTACAAGTAGGATCACGTGTGGTACACGTAGAATGAAAAAAGCGATCACATAAATAAGTAGGTAAATATGTAATGAAAATATGTTTCAAGCATTTATGTAAATCATTTCGTAAATATGCAATAGAATCACTGTCAAGGCTGAAAGCCTTCATTAAGAAAATATGTTTATTCATAAGAGTAGTCCAGTATAGAAAGCAAACCAGACTTCTGGCTCTCTCATGATAGTCTTTCTGATCCTGTATTTAATATGTATTTGTATACATGCCCCCCCCCTAAATGAGCGACCTTGACCCGCAAGCACGGAAGCAATAAACAGTTACAGGGAGTCCGTCCACTAAGCTCTTAGTGAGAGTAGTAAGTAAGGCTGGCTCTAAGATCTAAGGAATACAGAAGCACGGGGAAGCGATATATTAAGCAGCTTAATCCTACTTCTTATTCTAAAGTATGCAAGTAGAGCAAGGCAGAGGGGAGACTACTTGAATATATTGATATGCGTTAAGCGAGCGCTTAAAATTTCCAATGGAAACGTGTAAAATATATTCATAACATTACTCTATGACATTAATTATATTTACATAATTATTTTAATATTACTATCACATTATTAATGTTGATTTTAATATTATTATAAAAACAGTTAATGATAATAATTTAAATTATTATCGTAAATGTAAATTAATTATAATAAATTCATATAATTTTATTTTTATTATTTGAATATATTAATAATATTTAATTCTAATTTTAATAATTCTATATAATTTTCATAATTATAATTAGTGAAACGATACTATTATTGTCGTAATACATGAATTACTGCATTAATATTAATAAAATTGTAATAAAAATAAATACATATTGAAAAATTTATAATTAGAAACATATAATTATGATATTCATAAAAAAATCATATTTACTTTGTTATTATTTTATTAGTAATATGTTATAACAACTAAAGACATCATCAGTTTAAATAAGTTTATTATTATTTTTTTTAATTTTATAACTATATTTAATATCACCTGTAATTTTAAAGAATTTGAGTTTTTTGAAGTATGGTAATTTATATGTTTTGAAAGAAATATTAAAAAATAATACGCATTTGGCATTTTTTTTTGGTAGAAGATACTCTTTCTATGATATACTTTATTTATGTGAGATTAGACCCATGCTTTAAATGTGAATGGGCCTTCATTTATGTATGATTAGGCCTATGCTTTAAATGTGAATAGGCCTCCATAGATGTCCTATATAAAATGCTTTATTCCAATTACCATTTGACGTCAATTTTCAAACTTTATAGTTCAAGATCATCCCTAAAAAAACTGTAGAGTTCAATATCCTTTTGAACTTGAATGAGAGTTAATTGTAATATTTTTTAGTTAAAGGATTCAAAGGTTGCTATTGATTTTTACTTTAATTTGAAACATTGGAGGAGACTAATGGTAAATATAGTTAAATTGGGTAACAAACCAGTATTCTCTCTTATTCTCATTCCTATATACTTAAAAAAGAAAATATTCTATATCTGTTTTTTTTTTTTCTCATTCTCCCCTTTTCTGTATACTTATCCCCTCTAATTCTATTTGAGCAAATATTCCATTTTTGAGTAAATATTTCTATATCCCCTCTAATTCTATTTTATCTTTTTATTTAAGGATGTTGTTTCTATAAATATGCACCTCCAAATTTTATCATGTAATTTTGATATTAAAAATTCTTAAAAATAATTAAAAATCTATTTTTATATGTAATTATAAAAGTTTAAACTTCAAAAATGGCTATCATCAAGTAGATCTATAAATATTTAAAAATCTTAAAAATAGACGGTTGCAAAATGCACTATTTATGAGACACAAAATCTTTTTTGTTTCATATTCATACATCTCGAGGTCGAGATGATCAATTTGTGTCACAGTTTCACTATCTCTCAATCTGTCTGCAAATTGAGATGATCAATCTGTCTCACAGTTTCACTCTCTCTCATTCTGTCTCAAATTCGCAGGCGTTCTTTCTCTCTATTTGGGAATGAAGGGCATGATGATATAAACTATGGGCGAGATTAGTGTTTACAATCTCGTACTGGATTTGTTTGTTATTGATTTACATGTGGTTTCGGTCTTATTCCAAGCTCAATAGAATGAATCATAACAAATGATAAATTATAGTGGCCATCAATAGAATGAATCATAGCAAATGACAAATTATAGTGTCTATTAATCAGGTCACTCTGTTTGATACAACAATTTATCGGATCATTTCTTGCTATCCATTTAGTAGGATTTCTATTTATCATCATTTTTTCTTGGTTCGTTTGAGTATTTTATAAGAGTTTTGGGTTCATTTAGGTTCAACTTTAGAGATTCTCATAGAACTTAGAGGCTGCGAGCCTTCATTTAGGATCAACCTTAGAGATTCTCATAAGACTTAGAGGTTGAGAGCCTTTTAATTTTTGATGTATTGAACTTCATCCTGCTCTTTACTTTTTCTTTGGAATTCTAAGTCATGGCGCATGTGGATTTAACCCTTGGAATCCAATCACATCATTCTTATGTATTGCTTTTAAGTTTTGGTGAAGTTTATGTAAGTCACCCTCTTTATACCGTCAGGTTTTTTTCGTTTTCCATTTTTTTTTTTCAAATTTGTCTTCGATCCGATGTTAGAAACATCAAACCGCCTTAAAAATAAAAAAAAATGAGGTCTAAATGCAGTCCAATGTTTCTAAAAACAACGGACTGTCTTAAACTTTCAAAAAATACAGTCCAAATGGACTACATTAACCAGAAGAAATGAGCTCTAAATACGAAACGTTGGACCGCCTATTAGAATTTTTATTGAAAAAGTTTATATAGAGCCAAGGATCTAGACAATCAAATTTGAGCCCATCTCACTAGAAGTTGTTTTGATGCCCAAATATCCTCAAATTGATCATCTCGACATGCATGGACATGAGAAAATATGGATTTGAAGTTTTGAAAATAGTGTATTTTGTGGTACGGTGATCCTAGGACTTATGCAAAACTTTAGTAGGGGAAAACAATTTATTTAGAGATAGATAGGAAAACAATTTATTTAGACAGAGATGGATTTTTTTTTTGTGTGTGTGTAATAGATTTGAATGTTGCATCGATATTAATGGAGATCTCATCGCAACTAAAGTCCTAACCAATATGTATTTACTAATGAAACCAAGTGGTCTCTCTCACTACCACCAACAACCCCCCACCACTTCCCTACAAAAAATAAGAAGTAAAAAATAAAAAAATTTAAATTTAAATAAAATGAATGAGATTTATATAGAGACGAGGCTCTAAACACCTTCAAATAGTATTGAAAATTTGGTTTCAATATTGAAAATCTTTGTGATAGCCTTAAAATATATTTTCATCTTTAATTATAAAATTTAAAGATTAAAAAATAGAGTAGATTGAGTAGATCTATAAAAATTTGAAAATCTTGAAAATTGATGGTAAAAAGATGCATTATAAAATGCACTATTTCCAAAACTTGAAATCTATTTTTTTTCTCATGTCCATGCATATTGATGTCCTGATGATCAATTTGAAGATATTTGGGCATCAACACAATATCTTCTAATGAAGTTTTCGAAGTGGGCTCTAATTTGATTGTTTAAAGCTTCGGCTCTGTATACACTTTTCCA